ACAGTCAAATGCCTTTGCATAATCAATGAAACACAGATAGACATTCTTCTGGTATTCTCTGCTTTCAGCCAAGATGGGTGTGCATATATCTGCTTGGGTGGCAGTTGTGATTTCTTTAGGGTATATTCCCAGTAGTGGAATTACTGGAACAGATGGTATTTCTATTTCCAACTCTTTGAGAAAGTGCCATACTGCCTTCCATAGTGGTTACACCATTTTACACTCCCACCAACAGTGAATAAGGGTTCCAGTTCCTCCACAACCTCACCAGCATTTGCTGTTTGCTGCTCTGTTGAATTTTGCTATTCTGACTGGGGTGAGATGATATCTCATGGTTGTTTTGATTTGCATCTCTCTTAGAGCTAGGGGTTTTGAACACTTCTTCATGTGTTTGCTTGTCATCCGAATGTCTTCTTTGGTCGAGGGATTATTTTGATCCCTTGTTACTATTTTGGAGGAACACTCTTTGAAGTCATACAGCACTCTGGTCAATTTGCTGTGCTGAAGTAATCTGGGTTTGCTGTGACACTTAACCGTTTGTCATTGGAGTCTCAAATGCCATAATAGAACAACTGTGCCATAGGTGTGCCAAACACTATAATGGCTACCCATCATGGGCAGTGTTTGGTGGAGCTCCCAGATTGATTCAGGTTTGGAAGCAGGAGTGGCATCCACTTCCTAAACCACATTCCTCTGGAAACTATATGAACCTGAAGAAAGAACTATAGTTATAGAAAGGCTGCAGGCCTTTTGTTCATATATATATGGAGAGCCCTTGTATTTAAAATTCAGTTGGGCTTGAGGGTCTAGTGTTATTTTTGGAGAAACATTCTTCTAAATTGTGCAGCACTCCTCTGGCAATTTACTGCCCTTGAGGTAATTTGGGTTTGCTGTGATGCCGAACCTTGTGCCACTGGGAAGTCAAATGCCATAATCGCTGCCCAAGGTGGACGTTATCTGGAGGAGCTCCCAGTTTTGAGACAGGTGTGGAAGCAGGAGTAGGATCCACTTCCTACACCACTTGCCTCTGGAAACTCTATGAATTTTTTGAGAAATGATGACTGACAGAAATGCTTCAAGCCTTTTGTTCATAGAGTTGTGCTCGACTCGACGGCAATCAACGACAACAGGGCACTGGAGACAACTCGCGTGTTTGGGGAGCACGTGCCAAGGGCAGGGACTCAGTCTAACCTGGGTACATGTCCATGGGCAAGCACAAAGGCACACAAGGACCCTCACTGGATATTGTTCCCCTGGGTTCTGTGTCATAGGATCTCAGCCTTTCACTCCACACCCACATCGTGGCTGTGGTGTGCCCTGCCCTCTTCCTAAATCTCACCCTCAAGTTTGATCATTTTCATGCTTTCCTCCCCCAGCTCCCATTCACTCTAAACATTCCAAAAACCGAACTGGAAGCCACTTGTTTCCCCTCAGCTTTTATCATGAGGAATCATAAAACATGAGTGTGTACAAACAGATAAGGGTGTGAACATGCTCTGAACACGTGAGGGCAAGCGTCAGGGATGTTGTCACACACGGGTTTACACAGGTAGAAACCTGAACGTGCACCCTTGCAGCCACGTTCACTGGGTGAGGTTCTCATGAACAAACACAACATCAAGACATGTCCAGACACACAACATAGCATGCCACATAACACACCACGACACATACATTTACACTGTAAAAAACAGGTACTCTTACTGTTGTAGAATGAGGCTGACATCGGGGTGGGGGTAAGACTGAGAAAAACTGGATAAATTATGTTTACTGCATTGAAGTCTATGAGGGAGAGAATAGTTTAAAAGTATTATATTTTAGGGCATTATGTTTATTATAAGA